CAGTTCTGTCGACGCTATGACATTTTATTGAAGTAGGATTAAATAAAGATTTATTGAAGTAGGATTAAATCATGGGGGGCCGTGATCTGCGGGTTGAGCAATTCTCACTCCCACATAAGACAGTGATTCTTAGCTACACAAGAGCGTCAGAATCACCCCGGGGTCCTTTTCCAAATGCACGTGCCTGAGATCCATTCCTGGATGTTCTGCTTCAGTAGGTCTTGGGTGGAGATTTGGCATGAGTATTTCCTGATAGACTTATTGAATTAATTATTGAGTCCAACAATATGGACTTTAAGAAAACATATATTGAGAGGTAACTATATGTTAGACACTGTTAAAGACTTTCGTGGTTCTTACCTCATTTAATTCTGAGACTCTTATGGGATAATTTTAATAAAATTCTACAGTGCAAGAAATCAAGAATTAGAGAAATTATCTTGTTTATTGACAACAAGCATGTTCTGTAACATAATGGGTATTGAGGCAGCAGGGTTCTGCTGGTTCTCCTTAATCTCTACCTTTTCAGGAACCCAAACAGCTGCATAATCTAGTAGGCAAGTTGTCCAGTGAACTGGAATCCAACTCTTATTTTTGCCATAGACTAGATTTGGGACCCTGGTTAAGTCAGTCTGTGCCTCCATTTCTATAGCTATAAAACAGAGACTAATTCCCCGAAATTCCACTGTACAGGGATGATCTCTTTGGACATTTGGGGGGGAAAAAGCTATCATATATACCCAGGACACGGTCATTATATTTGAAATACTATATGACTATTTCAAAAGAGCCTGTACACTCTTTGTCTAGGCTGATATCTGCAGGTTGTAAGGGAGAAAGGGAAGCAGAGAAAAACTAAAATTTCGTGGCCCTGAAGAGGATAAGGCCAGATCTGAGAGAAGTGTGCAAAGGCTGCTCCCAGGCACAGCTCTGCGCCATAGACTCATATTTCTTCTGAGTATACCAACTGCTTTTCTTTTTTAAACCTACCCATGGTGGTGCCCTGTGAATAGCCGACATAATAGATCTTTTCTTGACCTGTTTTCCGCAAAATAAAGTTTATGACTGCAGGAAGATCAAACCTCGCCATCTCATCATAACTAGGAGAAGAAAAGGCAAGATTGTATGAAAAATTATAATCAGAAACAAGCAAAAGCAGCCCCCGGGGTTTACAAACATGCCCTTAAGCTGCCAGCCCCAACAGCTGGTGACTGTGCCCCTCACAACACTTAGAATGGACTTGTTTCAAACCTGTGATGCCTGGATGCCTCTGGGGCCCCAGGCTGCTAGCAAATTGCTGTTTTCTCTGGATGTTACCATAGAGCAATAATCATCTTCAGTGAACATTTACTGAGCACATGCTCCACCTCCTGGTGGACATGTCCTGTAACTCTATTAGCAGAACGGCACAGGGCCATGCAGATTCGTTTATATAAAAAGTGTCAAAGCTGCTGCAGGAGCCCTTCTCTGATGAAATTCATAAAAAGCAGGTGGAATTCAGTAGGTAATTTAAATAAAAACATTAAAAGCTTTTGTAAGAGTGCGAGAGATGTATTAATCAAATGGGTGGTTCCTAAGGCTTATTAGTTCCACTGATAGTGTTAATACGGCCTGGTCTCATCTCCTCCTGGGGGTACAAGCCCTTGTCATCACTCACGGAAGAGCTAATCCCAGGATCCATCTACGAGGAAGTGGACCTACACTTCTCCCGTTCCAGTCTTGATCACCTGACACCACCGCCATCCTCACCCCATTTGCCAGACCCAGCCTTCTACTTGGGGAACCCAGTTTCCTTCCCCCAGAGAATCACTAGTTAAAGAAGACAATTGGGGGATAATATGTTAGGTTACTGAGAAGCCAACTGAAGTAAGTTATCTACATACCAGAAGCCATACTCTTTACTTCACTCTCCCAGAGGCATCACGTCCCCCTCCTCCCAGGACATCCGTGTACCTGAAAGCCCAGAACTCATCCTGGTCTGTGGAGAGGGTCTTGTGCTTCCGAGACCAGGTGTTTCCCCTGCTGTTCCCCAGCCACACGTCAAAACCAGCGTCCGCCAGCATGAAGCCCAGGCTGTTGTTGGGCAGGTTGAAAATCCAGTTGCCAGCATCTCCAAGCAGGCCGTGCTGCAGTAACACCACAGGCCTGGAACCTAGCAAACAGTGAATTTCAAAGGTGTGAGTGTCCTGCACCTTTCTTATTGTCCCCTAATGTGCCAAGGCTTTCAAGTGAGACAACTGAGTGTTCAGATCTTGATTCAGCTGCTTTCTAGCCTGTGCCTTTCTGTGTCTTGATTTCCTTGTGAGAAAAATGGGATTTTGTTAAATAAAATGGCCCACAAGGACCAGGTGGCACAAGGCCTGGCACAGAGAAAGAATCAATAAAGCTGAGCTTTCCTTGTTGCTTTTGTGTAGTTATTTTTATGACTGGACTTGTCTGGGCACCTCGGAAGATACTGGAAATGTTCCGGGAGGTAGAATAGTACAATGATTAAGATATCTATAATAATCATAACTATTATATGTTAATAAGGGAAAGTAATTATATTATTATATACTAATACATGTTATTTACATAATACATTATAAATGTGTATAAGTGAGCATATTAATATTATATCAGTAATGTGTACTATATATTAATATAGAATTAATATATGATATTATACAGTATTATATGGTCTGTATAATTATTGACATATTAATATACACACATATAGACATGTACACAAATATGCTTAATATATTACCTATTGATATATTGATAATATTATATATGATTATATATCATTCTTAATATTGTGATATTAATATGTACTCTCACATATATGTCATACATGTAATGGTTTAATAATATGGGCCCTTCATGTCAAAAGGACTCACAAGCCAGCTTGAAAGAGCTCCCACTATTCAAATATGGAAAGTCTGAGCATCAAAATAAACAATGATAGCAATAAATTATATTTCATTGACTAAATTAAGAATGTATGAGCCAACATTGATATCAATAAAAAATGAGCAAATAATTAGGGGAAAAGGAAAACTTTTTAATTACAGTATAATGCCAATTAATAGATAGATAAAGATTGACAGTGTTATAAACTCATCAATGGATACTCAAATTAGTGGATATAAGTTTGAAGAGATACAGAATATTTACGTATCCTGAAAGCAACTCCTCACAAATTATTTATTAATTACAAAGGGAAGAATAGTAACTTCATGGGAGAAAAAACTTGCCATACGTCACCTTAACAAAAAGATCAATTAATATTACCGAATAGAACTGGACTCCTAACTTACACCCCTCACAAAAGTTAACTTGAAATACATTAAAGACTTCAGTGTAAGGCCTGAAACCGTAAAGCTCTTAGAAGAAAATGCATTAGACTTACCAATGATTTTTTGGAATAAGATATTAAAAGCAGAGTAATAAAAGCAAAAATAAACAAATGGGACTAACTAAAAAGCTTCTGTACAGCAAAGGGAATCATCAATATATTGACATTACAATTTACAGATTGAGAGAAAATATTTGCAAACTGTGTATCTGATAAGGGGTTAATATCCAAAATATATAAAGAACTTATACTACTCAACAGCAAAAAAGCAACTAATCCAATTAAAAAGTGGGGCAAAGGACCAGAATACACATTTAGCAAAGAAGACATACAAATGGCCATTAGATACATGAAGGGTGCTCGACATCACTAATCATCAGGGAAATGCACATCAAAACTACATGATGTATTACCTCATACTTGTTAGAATGGCTTTTACCTAAAAGAAGAAACAACCAGTGTTGGTGAGGATGTGGAGAAAAGGAAAATTTTGTACACTGTGAGTGGTACACTGGTACATTCATTATGGAAAACAAAATGGAAACTCCTCAAAAAATTAAAAATAGAACTACCATACGACCCAAGGATCCCACTTCTGGGTATATATCAGAGGGAAAGAATCATTATCTCAAAGAGGTATCTGCACTCCCATGTTCGCTGCAGCACTATTTACAATAGCCAAGATATGGAAAAAATCTGAGTAATGTTGAGTGATGTCGAAGAGGTGGATAAAGAGGATGTGGTATTTTTATATAATGGAATATTATTCAGCCACGCCAAAGAAGGAAATTTTGCTATTTGCAGCATGGATAAAACTGGAGGACATTACGCTAAATGAAACAAACCGACATAGAAAGAAAAATACTGTCTGATCCCATGTCTGTGTAAAGTCTAAAAGGAAAAAAAGAAGTTGAACTTACAGAAACAGAGTAGAATGGTGGTGCCAGGGGCTGGTGGATGGGGGAAGTGGGGAGATGCTGGTCAAAGGGTACGAGTCTCCAGCTACAAGATAAGTAAGTTCTGGGGATCTAATGTACAGTATGGTGGCAATACCATTTGCTAAGAGTAAGTGTTAAACACTAACACACACAAGGTACTTATCTGAGGCGATGAATGTGTTAATTAACCTGACTGTGGTAATCATTGCACAATGTATACATAGATCAAATCATCACATTGTACACTCTAAATATATACAGTTTTGTCAATTGTACATCAATAAAGCTGGGGAAAATATTTTTCAAAAAAGCTAACATTGCCATTCTTAGAACATTCCATCATCGTATGCTTATTATAAGAGGCACACAACTGGGAAGGACATAACTTCACTTCTGTGGTGTTCCTGTCAAAATGTATAACCTAAATCACATCATGAAGAAATATTAGACAAACCAAATTGAAAAATGATGTATACAACAACACTCCAAAACTCTTAAAAAAATGTCAAGACCAAAAAGACAAAGAAAACCTGAGGAATTGTTCAGTTTATAAAGGAGGCAAAAAGACATGACAACCAGATATGGTGTATAATCCTAGAGTAGATTATTGACCAGTTTTCATAAAAAAGGCTATAAAGGACTTTGGCACAATTGACAAAATTTGAATATGGGCTAAGGATTATATACTAACATCAATCAGTGTTAATTTCCTAATTCTGATAAGTGTACTGTGATTATAGAAGGGAATATCTTAATTCTTAGTGAAGAGGATCAGGATACACACTCTCCGAATTTGTCATTTTGGCATAAGAATTATGTGCTTTTGAGTCCCTGAAATCTCTCATCTGCCTAAAAGCACAGCCTCCCAAAAGAACTCAATTGTCACAAGTCCCTTCCCCGGGAGCAAATCAAATCTCTTCTTGGAGACAAGAAGTTGGCACCAGGACATTCAGACATTGTCACTAAAGATGATATCTCCCATCTATTCTCCTAAGAGCCATTTATCTTTCCAAAAAAGTCATTTGCTTTTCCGTAAGTGCTCTGTCTCTCTCTCCCTTTCCCTACTAGTTTAGGTATATAGACCCCAAATTCTAACCACCTTTTTGAGTAACTCATGTCTGAGTGCTCCCATGTGTATATGGGATGCACATTGCAAATAAACCTCTACTTGTTTTTCTGTTATTAATCTGCCTTTTGTTAGTCTAATTTACAGGGGCCCAGTTAGAAAACCTAAGACGAAATAGAAGAAAATATTCTTTTTTACCCTCTCCAAAGTTAGGTAATACATACTGAAGTATTGAGGGGCAAATGATGTCTCAAACTTACTATCAAAGATTTTTGAAAACATAATGTGAATAAATAAATATATATAGCAGAGGGGAGAGAATAATAAAGTAAATGGGGGCAAAATGGAATTCACAATTGGTAAATCAGGGTGAAAGGTACATGATATGGTAGTTCCTTGTATGATTCCTGAAACTTTCTGTAAATCTGAGATTATATCAAAACAAAATAGTATTTATAAAAGGATTAAGGGCTTTAGAAATTCCCACATTAGAAAGTAATACTGAAAGATTAAGAAAATGCTGAACCTTTAGGAGGAAAAACCGTCATGCTCTCGATAGGGCTTGTGAGGAGTAAATCACATCCTGAGTGTCCTGTCCACAGCACGGTGCCTGGCTTAGAGTAAGTCCGTAGTGAATAGTGGATTTGTTGCTACTGTCGTGCTGGTGCTATAACTTTCTAAGGCAGTGATTCTCTGAGCTTCAGTGTCCTCATGAGCAAAACCAGGACACAAAACTGACCACCTCACAGGGTTTTGAGATGCTGCGTGTTAAGCATTCAGCGTGCTGCCCGACCTCCTACCAGACGGCAGTTCCTGTTAATTCGGTGAACTGAGTCCATGTGCGGTTTCCGTAAAGGACGAAGGCCTCTCTGTAACAAACTCATCCAGCATCTGGGCAATCTTCATGAATTCCATTTGCCTTATTTTGTCCCTCTGGGGAGAGAACGTGAGGGCCGTGAATGCAGGACCAGGAGAAAGGAACGCAGAGTTATCTCAGGTTTTCCTCTATGTCTGGCCACCGAGTTTGTCGTCTCAGCCCTCAAGGAGGTGACCTCAGCATGAGGTGATGAAACCAAGGTGAGTCAATGCTCTCCTCTGGAGTCCTTAGGACATTGCCACGGCGGGGGCCGGGCAAGCCCTCCTTAGCAGTGCAGTTTGTACTTGTGGTTCATCTAGTGAGAGAACTGGCTTCTAAATAATTTATATCACTTCAAATATCCCCAGTTTCATGGACTTTCACTTACATTATAGCTAACTGGTGAGCATGTAAGGCTATGCTTAAAAAGCTGTCATTTCTCAGGATAGCCCAACCTAATTTCTCTCTTCCACGGTAAATATTTGAAGCTGACAGTGATTTTTTGATGAAATAAAATTTAAACGAGGTTTTTGTCACAAGATTATAGACATCTTTCAGTTGTTTTCAGTATGAATTTCGTTGGCTCTCTTTTTGAAGAGATGATGGGAAATCTTTTTTTCCCCTCAAAGCTGGGAGACTTCCCCCTTGAAGCTCGTGGGAGCTGCAAGAACAGCATGAGCCACTAGAGGGCGGTATCCTGCACCGACTGGACCAGAAAGGCGGATCACCTTGAACTCCCAATGCTTAGGTACTTTGTGAACAGTCTAAATAAACAGGGTGTGAGAAAACAAACTACATTCACGAATGGGGGCTGAAAGCGACCCCCGAGCTTAGGAAATGCCACAGTCTCTGATTGGAAGAGCTGGGCCTGCTTACCCCCCAGGATTTGTGAAGCTTAGTGAAAAGTTCTCCCTGTGTCTCCAGACTATTCATTTATTCCACATACAGTTTTTGGCGCCTGCCACATGCTTGACACTCTTTTAGTCACTGGTTATGGCCTTGAACAAAATAGATAAAGTTCCTGTTTACACTCTGGTTGGGAAAGACATAATAAACAAGCAAATATCTATCATATCAGGGGATGTTAAGCGCTACTAGGAAAAGTAAGCAGGATAAGTGCTAGATCTCAAGAGCTGGGAGTGGGGCTGCTATTTTAAATAGGGCAGTTGGGATAAGAATGTGATGGGGAAAGTCTGAAAGAGGGGCCAGGACAAACTGCAGAGAGAGCTGCTGAAAGAGTGGTCCAGAGGAAGAACTGTGAGTGCAAAGGCACTGAGATAGGGGCATCCTGGACATGAATAAGGCACAGCTGTTCAGCTGGTGTAAAAAAAAACTGGTTTTGAAAAAGCTTCATACATGTAAATTGCAATAAAATAGAACCCTGAAGCTTCTTCACACCAAAGCCAGACAGCATTCACACAGCATTTTCTGGTGTCAATTAAGAGCACGAGCCACACTGGCCAAGGATCTTAATTTGAGTGCAGGTTTTGCAACATACTAGCAAGTACTAGCATACGCTTTCTGGATAAGTTACTTAACCTCTGTGAGAGCCAGTTTTTTAGGATTATTATGAAACTTAAATGAGACTAATGCAAGTAAAGCACTTAGCATTGTACCTGGCATATTGAAAGAACACAGTAAGAACTAGGATCTGTGCTCATGACAGCACAGACATTTGTTGCTGCCATAAACAGCAATGTAGTTACTGTTATAAACATGAGCTAGAGTACCAAAAGGAATAAAGCCAAATAGAGATGAAGGATGGGCACACTTTAGTAATAAAGGTGAAAATTTTAAAAGCCAACAATTGCTGAAAATCTCATATATGAAGAAAGGGATTATATGCACTGTGGATGCATGTACCAAAAATTAAAAATTGTTCCTGTGGCTCCCAATTCTTTAAAAGACTTTAGTGAAAAGCTGGAAAACAGCTTAAATATTTAAAGGACTATTTGGATGGGGAATATAGAGTGTGCTATGGTGGGCACTGGGGGTCATGTTGGAGTTTGTATTCCACATGAGCAAGGATTGGCATGGTCTGTTTAGAGATGATCAGTGGATATTCTAGAATAACTACATAGGAGGAGTTTGGGGAATGGATAAAGAATAGAAGGGGTTAAGAAATGGACTCCTTTTGAAGCTGTTTTTTGAAAGACAAACACTATGTTTGAGATAATTGGGGATGGGGTAGTGGGGATGGAGAGTGTGGGGGAACTGAAGCCATCTTTTGGTGGAAACGGTGGGCTCAGTGTGTACCCAGAGCCCAGGCTCCCTTCTACACACTCAAATCACGGGGAATTCTTTACTTTAGGGAAGGCAGCCATGTTGGGGCGACATATTGTGAAGAATACCTGTCTTCTTAGGTTGCACCAGGCCTTGAGGGATCCTGTTAACGGAAAGGATATACCCATCTTCTGTCGTGACTTCATACTCCTCACAGGGATAACCTTTATGCTGGATGATTTCGCTCTAGGAAAAAAGCACATTTTTTTTGAGTTTAGTTTTGCATAGCTACATTCTCAATGATCCAAAAGTAAAAAGAAGATTCCTTGATGCTGGATGAAGTAGACAAGAAATTTGTTGTTTTTCCCTAGCTAATGATGCTATTGTAAAAAAATTAGCCAACCCCTCTAGTTCTCATTTCCTTTATCTTTAGTGTGGAGATTGAATGAAAGGTAGTTCTTAAAGTGTGGGCCTTGGACCAAGGGCATAGCACCACTTGGGGATTTGGTAGAAATACAAAATGATCAGTTTCCACCCAAACCTATTGAATCAGGAACTCAGAGGATGGGGCTCAGCAATTTGTTTTAACAAGCTCCTTAGAAAATTCTGATATGCCCTAATGTTTGAGAACTGCTGGAAAGGAACACTGATTCTAAAACCTGGGTACACATCAGAAACATCTGGGGTGCTTACACGTAAATATTCCTGGGCCTACTTTGGGTTGGGGATCAGGTAGTTCTAATGCAGCCAATGGGGCACTTGTCCCAGGATAATTCATGAGACCCCCTGGGCCATGTATCGTCTGAGGTTCTTTTCAGCTCTAAAACCACGGACTGAAGATCAGTACAGTTGTTCCTCAGTATCCACGGGGAATTGGCTCCAGGACTCCTCATGGATACCCATCTCCACGGATGTTCAAGTTCCTTACAGAAAATGTGTATTACGTCAGTCCTGCATGTTGGCAAGTTCTGCATCCCTGGATGTGGAGGACCCACTACAGTTCTTAACATTTTTAGGTTAAGGATCTCTCAGTGAATTTGAGGAAAACTATAAAAATGGATATACACATGGAAACACTATACACTTTTCAGGGGTTTCACATTTCTTGCTCCCTGTATATGGACCCCTAGTTAAGGGCCCCTCCCCTATACAGTTGTTACAGGTAGAAGGTCTTTGTAAAATAGAAAGCTGCAGAGTTCTTTTTTTTTTTTTGCAGAGTTCTCCTAAGTGTCCTCAGTTTCTGCCCACTGCAGTTACTTAGAGGAGAAAATTATTTCTATCAGCTTCTGCTTTGAAAGGAACAAGGGAGGAGAAAGCCAGGTGTCAAATGCCCAGTGTAGTATACAGGACAAAGGGCATAACAGTTAAGAGAAAGGCCCTGTGGTCCCACTGTTTAAGTTTTTAAATCTTGGCTTCAATACTAATACATACACTAGCTGCATGATCTTGGGAAATTTAGTTATGCTGTCCCTATTCCTCAGTTTATTCCTCTGTAAATTAGGTATATCACTGGTTTATACTCCATGGGATTATTGCAAGGACTGTATGCACATTTCTTGCACAAAAGATACTGTACTGTACTAGATTGCCTGGCACTTAGTAGAAACTCAATGAGCTACAGCTACCACTGTAATTAAAAATTACTCCCACCCTTCAAGCAACTCCTAGTCATCTTTTAGACTTCAGGTTAAGAAACATTTCTTCAGAAAAACTTCTCTGAATTCTCTGAATGGATCCCCCTATTTCATGTTTCCTTTTTTGATTTCACTGTTGTTGTGGTTAGTAACTGAGTGTCTGTTTTCCTTGCTGGATTGTAGACTTCATGAACTCAGGGCTTTTGATGTACCTGGATCTCTGTGTGACCTCAGTGCATAGCGCAGTATCAGGGGCCTAGCAGGTGTTCAGTTAACACTAGCTGGAAGAAACATGAATGAGGCCAGTTGTATACCAAAATATAGGATAAATTATATCCAGATAAATTAGTACACAGAATCAACCCCATTCAGACTCTGAACCACTTTTACTCTATTTCATTTAATTTATATGAGCGATTATATGATTTTCTGTTTTACTTTGCCTCTCAATGCATAACTGCTCAACAACAGAGTCTAATTCAATGCATTTTAGTCTTAGGGCTCTTGAAGTCCCAACAGTGCTGGGCATACCCAGTGGGTGAGACCCAGGGCGATTAGTCCTGCCTGTGACTAAAGACATTCCTTTCACTGAGTGACCAGAGGGATTTGTATGGGAGCTTCTCGGGGCCAGAAGGATGGCCCTTAAGGACCTACAATCAATTTGCTGACGATCTGGACAAACCATCAAAGGACAGTCTATTATTGGAATGGTCAAAAGAAACGTGGGATCAGACATCATGTAGATTTAGAATATTTCTATGGCCTGTCAGAGTTTTAGACTTCATCCATGAAAAGGGTCTTAAATGTGCATAAAGTCACGTGAAATCTGTGATAAACCTACGGAGCATGAGCAACACATGCTCACCTCACGCGGGTGGAGGCAGCCTCTTGTCCCCTGGGATGGTTTATTGCACAGGGATTAAAATTTTGAGCTGTGTGTTCGGGCAGGCCTGGATTTAAGTCGTAGCTCTACTGCCTACCACGGGCGTGGCCTAATTGGAGTTGCTTAACCTTTTTAATCTCACTTCCTTGACTGGAAAAACGGGATAGGCGTGTCTGCTGCATAGGGCAGTGAAGATGAAATAAAATAGTACCTCTGCAGCTTTCATCATGATGTCTGCTACGGGAGAAGTGTGACCATTTGGCAGACAATATTAAAACTTGACTAAGAATGTGAAAGAAGCTGAAAAAATTCCCTGGGATTCCTAGAAATGTCACATCATTCATGAATTTTACTCATAGGAGGCCCTCACTAGCATTCATAAGGGTCCCTTTCTTTTTTTTCAGCCAGTCAACAGTTACCAATTCAAAATAGGAGTGAAAACAGTAGATTAGAATGGCCCAGGACGCTACTTCAAGTGGTTGTCCTGATAGTAAAAAGTGAGATCTCACATCTTTCTAATACTGGAAAAAGTAGAGACAGAATAAGAAGCACAGACAAAATGGAAACAATTATGGGTCTGAGCTTGACCTAAGATACCGCAATGATTTCTCTGTTCACAGAACGAAACTAAGCCTTCAAGAAAAAGTTAAGCTGTGTTTGAAGCTCAGTGATTAAGTCATTTAAGTTTACTGAATTTGTTTGAGGTGAACCCAGGTCTACTCATACCCAGTTTAGTCTCCTTTCCAGTATAATTATTAATTAACAACTCTACTCTACTAGCAAAAAATCACCACCATATATAAATATATAATGCAGATAATACACAGATGCAAACATTAACATGTAAGGCACTCTGTTTCCCCCCAAACATGGAAAAACCCCACTTACAATATTCATGAATGCTTCTGGGTCCACAGCTTTAGTTGGCATGTGTCCTGAATTCACATTTCTTTGGAACAAGTATGCCACCAGAATCAGAAGCCACATCTCTGTTCTGTGTGAGACAATCCACACTCTTGACAAGATTTTTGACATGGTCCAACATCTGCATTTATCTTTTCCTGGCAATATGACAGCTGATTCTATAAGTCAGAAGAATCTGTAGGTTTAAATACTCATATACTGTCCAGCTGTAACTTCTTCCCCAAATTCTGAAGCAAATTAAACAAGCTTGCTTGATAGGAACGAAAGAACACAATGTAGAATGAAAACATACTCCAGGATGTCCCAGGGCCATCTGGCTCCTCCCACTCCCTCACACAACTTCATGGGTAGCACCTTCGTTGATGCAACCTGGAATTACGTGCATAAGATGCAGTTCATAAAACCCTGTTCATCGTCAGGTGATAGGAACCACAGAGGGAATCCATTTCTTTTTTCCCCCCTAATTCTTATTTTTCTTTAATAGGTTGAAAGGTATGAGGTCTGCAAAACACATCACAAACTTCTAGAGTCATTTTCCAGGGCTTCAATGATCACTGCCTTTCAGTTAAAAATCAATGTAGTGACAAGTATTTTTATTTAAATATCAAAAAATTTAGGACGTTTTCTATTTTTAGTGATCCATGAAAACCTTGATTGGAAGAAAATAATTCTTCCATGTTCAGGCCATTTCTAGCTAGCTCAACTAAGTAGATGTGTATGAAAATTTATATTTGGATTTGTAATCACCAATTGATTGCTGAGAGATTAGTTTGATGGATACCTGGTAATTAATCATCTGTAATAACTCAAATAAGTTGCAGCCTAGTTATTTCCATGAACCAAAAGCCCTAGTTCAATCAACTGTGTGGCCAGGTGAGCAATTCCTTAGCCTACAAATATTTAAACAGGGCAGGAGAATAGACTTATTGTTATTTTTAAGTAAAGAATGTGTTAGAATTTAAGACAATCACTATTTAAAGTGAAACATTTCTTTACTTTTACCTCAGCGCTTCAGAACTGAGCTACCAGCAGCCACACTCATTTAGAGACTTTTGTAATGTGGTTGGTGAAGGAGCCAAAGCTGGAACAGAAATAATGGGTCTGTAAGAAAATACCCGCCCACACTTGCAGCCTCACCCACTCTGGGCCAGCTGCATAGGCGTGATGAAGTAAGCCTGAAGCTCTTATCTGGACCAATCTCCACATTCCTACCATTGATGCTCAGATGCGTGGTAAGGCATAGGAGCTGACCTAATTTAGAAGAGCAGAGGGAACATGTTCTTAGTGCTGCTGAGCTCACTCCGAACTTATGCAAAGTGAGGTTTTTAGAAAAAGAACCTGGGCTCCTACTGCTGACATTTTAGGATTTTGAAATGTTTTACAGCCAGAAGCCTTCCCCTTTCCATTCTACTCCTTTCTCCCCCTCTTCTCCCTCTGGGATTTCAATGATGTGTACTTGGTTTCTATTATTTTATCCTATAGTTTCTATGGACTTTTTCTGTTCCTTTTCATTATTTTTGTTTGTTTGTTTTTGGCTCCTCTGATTGGACAATTTCAGTTGATCTATCTTCGAACTCATTGATTCATTCTTTTGTTTGTTCAAGTCTGCTTTTGAAATTCTCTCCTAAATTCTTCAGTTCAGTCATTGCATTCTTCAGCTCCAAAATTTCTCTTTGGTTCTTTTTATGTTTTCTATCTCTTGGTTGAACTATTCACTTCCTTCTTGTGTTGTTTTCCTGGTACCATTATATTATTTATCTGTGCTTTCTTGTAGCTGATTATCTTTAGAACAATTATTTATAATTCTTTGTTGAACAATTCCTGGATCTCCATTTCTTTGGGGCCAGTTACTGGAGGTTTACTGTATTCCTCACTCTTCATGACCCCCAGAGCTTTGTGTCAGTGTCTGTTCATTGGAAGACACAGTCATCTCTTCCTGAATTTATGGACTGATTTTGGCAAAGGAAGAATTCTACCTGTGGGAAGGGGGATGCTGAAGTGTGCTATGACCCCAGGTCTAGTGGTGCAGGGCACAATTGTGGGAGCGTGTGGTGGCAGTAGGTCCAGTGGGGAGGGGTGTCCCTGGCTCAGACTGTTGGGGTTCACAGCATCCATAGCTGGGTGATCTTTGGTGAGCGCTGCAGGTCTCTGCGCTGACTGCAGGCACGTTTAGGGTCTTCAGTAGTGCCTCCAGGTCCAGTAGCTAGGGACCCGGATGGGTGACAGTGGAGGCTGGAGGCCATGTTGTGCACACATTCGGCTGTGGGGACAAGCTGCAGGTGCCTATGTGGTAGCAGGGGCTGATTGCAGACACATACACCATGGCGGGGCCTGGGGCAGGTAGCAAGGGCTGGGTTCAACTGTGGGCAATATGACAGCTGCAGAGGCCTGTGCTCGCTGGTAGCTAAACAGTTTCCCCCAGACTTGTGCTTGGCAGTGGGGGTCAGCCATGGCTGCCTAGTTACTATGACAGGCTGTGGAGTCACGCCTTCTGCTTTCTGACCTGACATGTATAGGATAAGCCAGAGTTTCTTCATCAGCTTGTGAAACTACAAAACATCTGGTGTAGAGAGCAGCACTCATATCCCCTACAGACTGGTCCCAGTGTGACTCCTGACTCCATCCCTTCCTGACGCGGTGCTCCCTGTCAAGCCACTTAACCCCTCAGAGCCTCACTGAAAATGAGATGCTATCAGGATAAGTGGAAAAAATGTGTGCAAATGGCATAAGCACATGGTGGCTGCTTAGAGAACAGTCTTTCCTTTCCCTTTTTCTTTTTCTTCTTGAAGGATCTTGTGATATGGACAAAACTTTGGTGGCTTAAGTTTAGCTTGTTTGCAATGTTTAGTTATTACAAATAATATCATAGCATCTGCTCACATATAAATATGTATATATGTATGTATATGTGTGTGTGTGTGTATAAATATATACAGTGTGGACATATGAGAGTATTTTTATAGAAAAGACGTACAGATGTGGAATAATGGATCCATCTGTATTTCCAGGCTAAGTTCCCTCAAAAAGATTGAACCAATTTAAGTTCTTATAATAGAGCATGATCCTGGTTGTTTCTCCACATCTTCCTTCATCAATTCTACACATTAGAAACCTTTTTATTTTTGCCAATGTGAAGGAATCGAGATGCTATTTCATTGTAATTTTAGTTTTCATTTTCTTGTGTTATAATGAAATTGAGACATTTTTAATGTGTTGGCTATTAGATTTTCTTTTATGAATTGCCTTTGAAGATGATTAGCCTGTTTTCTCTGTGTTTTTTTTTTTAGTGATTTGTCTGGGCTTTTAATCTTTATAAATATTGATCATCATTTTGTGATAAATATCGTGAGTATTTTCTCTTTCCCTTTTGAAAATTGTGATTGTGGTGCCTTTCTTTAGCTATTAATCCATCATACAGAAGTGCTAAAATGTTATGGGTTAAGTCTCTTGAGGTTTTCATTTTGAGTTTCTGGGTTTTCTGAGTTTTTAAAGACAGATTTTCTTTACTCCAAGGTTATACAAATATATTTTATATTCTTGTCAATGTTTTTACAATTTTAAAATTTATCTGGTTATTTGAAATTTATTTTTCAGCATAGTTGGGTATTGAATCTGGGTTATTTTTTTCTAAGTAATTATTTCATACTACCAGTATCATTTATTAGAGTCTTTTCTGATTTCATTTCTAGGAAAGCCACCTTTACTCTTTCATCTTATGTTACAAAATCCTGCAGCCTTGGGGCTTACATGATTTTCCTAGAGCAGTGCTTCTCAGCTGAGAGTGAATTTATCTCCCAGGGGTTTTGGCAATGTCTGCAGACATTTTTGGATGCCATCACTGTGGGAATGTTCCTGGCACCTAGTGGGAGAGGCCAGGGGTGCTTCTAAGTGAGCATCCTGCAATGCACTGGACAGACCCTCACAGCAAAAATTTCCCCACCCCAAATGTCAATAATGCTGAGGATGAGACAGCCTAGAGCCATCACAGTATATAAACATAGATCTGAAAAAAATCCTGCTTAGAAAAGGTGTATGAACATGCTTTTTAAATCATATTTTAGAATATTGGGGTTTTTTTTTTTGTATCTGTTGACAAATCCTCCAAGAGCTGTTTTGCATTTGAGCCTGTCATCATGATTTAATAGCTGTCCATTTTCCAGATGAGCAAAAAAATATGACTTTTCATCATTGTGATTTCTATGAGATGCTCCCTTTTCTCATAACTAAGATATTTCATGCTCACCAACTGCAGAAGACAGTGTTTGATTCTTGGGATGACAAATGCATATACTAACTGGATGTTCATTTATAATCAGGCCAGGTGGGGACAACGTTTTCAAATTTGATTTTACCTCTTATAGTCAAGAAAGTCAGACTGAGAATCATCTGATCAATGACACTGATTTCAGTTTCTACCCTAAACCAACTACGACACGGTCTCTGGGCTTGGGGTCCGGGAATTAGTAGTTTTGTCAGGTAAACTAGATGACGAGGAAGAGCTGCATTTGGGAGTCACTGCCATGCAGGACTCACAGTCATCCCACCTGCAGGGCGAGAACCTCTAATCTCTGTGAGGCAACTTATTCCAGCCTGGCTCCTTCCCTAGAGAGGAATTTGGCCCCAGACAGTGAAATAAGCCTGGGACTTCCGGGGTTAAAGATTTCCCTGTACTCACCAGCATCAGTGATGTAGTAAAGTAATGATTCATGATAACCATAACCTCTCTGAGTTTTTAAAATGCAAAATGAGAAACCACGGTGATTGAATAAACAAACATACAGGTTACTCATTTCTATGAGGGCTAATGATAGTTTATATTGGTTCAGTCTTCCTTCATCTTCAATGGGTTTAAACATTAATTAAGTTCATAAAACCGGGTGGCATGTAACAAAATATATGGCAAAGTCTAGAGAGTAAGATCACATGGATTTGGTCTGCATGATGCCAAGCGGAAAACACCCTGAATCTGATGCCCCCCCCCATAGAGGCATTTCACAAATACCCTGATCAGCTAAACTTTTCATGGTTTATTGAGATGGTTAGCATCTAGGGCCACTCAATCCCAGAGATAAAAGAGGTAAAAACAGCAGTGAAGGGGCTGAACTTCCAGAATTACTTCCAAAATGATAGCAAAATAATTTTCCTAAGTACCTTTAGCATTTAGAGATGAAAAGTTTATCCTGAAGTCTTTAAATCTTGGCATTCTCAATTTTTCAGCTTTTAATAGATTCACTATATGTATCATCAAAATGGTTTCTTGGACACCATGTCAAAGAAAAAAGAAAATTTGGAATGAGTTGACAGAAATTGAGTATGTTTGAAAATCATGAAGGAAAATATTTATGATGGAAGAATTAGTCCAAAAAAAAAAAAAAGAGAGAGAACTGGTTAGACATAGTTCCTCCCTGGTGGAGGGCATTTTGGTGTAAGAAAAGAGATTCCCAGGTCCCTTCTACCCTAGGGACTTGGTAACAACTGTATTCAGTCAACCTGTCACCTGGGTGATGTGAACCCTAGCTGAAAATGTGATGGAAGGCCAAAGGAGGGATGTTTCTTCCTGAACACATTCCACAAACAAGGAAAACACATATCAAAGTTGCCTCTGTCTCCCAACAACCCTGGACTGAGTATTGACTTTTGACTTCTCTGAAGCTTAGCTCCAGAGTTCACAGTTTCCAGGGCAGGGGATCTGGGCTAGTGATGGCAAACTTATGGCAAATTTGAGAATAGCATTAGAGAAAAGGAGAGTTTTGAAATTTTTACAAATTTTACCTGTGACAAACCAGCAGGTGAAGAAATATAAATGTTGAATTTAAAACTTCCCAAAACGTGTGAGTACATTTATGCAGATTAATAAACCCAATACTAATCAGACGTAGGATGACATTATCCAAGGAGGCAGATAAGTCATTTAAGAGCCCCTTAAGTTACTTCCTTTGCCCGCAGACATCCTTCTTCCCCTAACTGTGAGAAAAATCTTTACATTGTTTTGTCATAAGCCCTGAAGCTCCACTAATGAAAAACGAGCCTGGTTGGTGAGGCGTTCAAGTACAGTGGAAGAAGCACTGGAGTAGGGCCCAGGCTCTGGGGTCCCTGGGTGGCAAATTGTAGGACTGTAGAGCGGTCACTTCCCCTTCTGGACCTTAGGATCTATAAAAGTTAGTTCGAGCCAGCTTGGTAGTTCACACAGTGTTTTGTGGTGGCCTGGTTTCTGTAGAAGGGCTGAAAGGAGTCTACCAACCTATGAATTAAATTTTGTTTTCAAATATAATTTTACCTACCTAAATGACTGTGCTTCATGTGTAATCTTAAATGTTGTACATCAAATTTCACAGCATCAGTGACCACTTAATCATTAACCGGTGCCAGAATCTTGGAGTAAAATTCCCTCTGCTGTCTTGTATAATTAAAGAGAACTGAAGTTGATGAAAACTTCTTAATGGTTTAAAAATGACTACGATGTCAACTACTTCTCTGTGATGACTTTACTGTATCTTGTAGCCAAACCAAATAGAGCACTGAAGAGTAAGCAGAGATGATACAACCACAGTCCTGTTGCTCGTAATAATTTCTAATTCTGGGGCTCACCAAAGTAGCTTTGTCTTTGCCACTTTACTTTATAATGGGTGACAGTTGAAAATTTGGATTTTATACGATAAATTTATACTAACCACCTACTACTTATTTATTCTATGTATGTTGGAACCTTGTAATCTTTTTGTTTGAAAAGACTTTTTGCTTCTAAAAATGTTTTAAAATCTTTGGTACAAGATAGTTACTATAACCTCTCTCTCCTCTGACATTATATCTAGGTCCTTTTGAAAAAAATTGGAAAATATCTACTTCTACTATCATCTTTATCATCTTTGAGATTTTGAAATTTTTGACGTAGGCAGTAGAGAAGTGGCTGGAATCATTTTGGTCCAGGAGTACCTGAGGGGAGAGTCGGGCTAGGGTGATCCCCATTTAGGGCTTGGAGACAGAAAGCAGCATGAAGCACTATAAATTTTTATAAGGGAGAGGGGAATAAACCTTGGAAAGGGTCCCCCAAAGGCAAAAAAGTGGCAGGCACTGGACCTTCCCTGGCTGCTGGGGTGCGAAGTGCCTGGTTGTTCAATTCTGCTTTCATCCTGCCCTGATTTTTAAAGTGGTCACATTTATGGGACTGTAACACACTGAAGCTGACAAAGACCTGGCAGATGGACTAGTTTATTTCACGGATAAAACAGGCCCAGGAGAGGGAAACAACTTGCCCACATGCGTTAAGGTCAGCTTTAGCATGGTGGAGGCTAAGGCAAGCAAGGGCCGTGGGGAGTGAAAACAGAGAGAAGGTGTAGAGGAGCTAGGATAAATAGGAACCCCCTCCTATCACCTCGCTAGCATTCAGGAGACATCCCAGCAACATCCACTGTCCCCCTTTAAGTAGTTTTTTTTGTCTTTTTGTTTGTTTGATTTTGCTTACTTTTTTTCAGGTGGGTAGGTAATTAGATTTATTTACTTAATTTTTTTTTAATAGAGGTACTGAGGATTGAACCTAGGACCTTGTGCATGCTAAGCATACACACTACCACTTGAGCTATACCTTCCTCTCCTTTAAAATAATTAAATGGTAAGTGTCTCTGTGTTCACAAGTTGCCTCTCCTTTCTATACATTCTTGCTTTTGAAATTCTCTGCATTTTCAGAACACATCAGCTGATTGCCTACCTCACCCTGTTGACATGTTGACATATGACATGTCATTTCCAGAATATTCACCCCTAGAGCTCCTGCCCTGAAATGTTTATTTGATTGTCTTTGACACACCTAGTATGTTTTTCCAACAGGGAATAGGCAGCCTCTTCTTAATCACATCAATAGACACCAAACAAAAGAGATCAAAATAAACTACAAAAAAATCTGGAAACTCTATGAACGGTTTTAAAACACTGTCCTTAAAGATATAGAAGAAAACGAATTTTTCTGCTCTTTGAAATCTATAATATACTAAGTGAAAGATGGTACAATTGAGGATCATAAAGGATTCTAGTTGTCACTGGGTGGCTTTGAAAGTTTTTCCCAGGGCTATTAAAGGAGTGAGCATGAGGATGTGTAGGTCTAGTTACAAAGCCTGGAAATACCAACTGAAGTCTCAAGTCACAGGGACACCTAGCAGGGAGTCTCCCCTAGAGGAGACAATAACAGTGGAAACCAAAAGACCTGGGTTCAAATCCCAACTCTGCCCCTCACCAGTTGGACCCTTGGACAATTTCTGATTTTCCCTTTTCTTACCTATAAATTGATAATAGTAATAACACCTTCTTTGCACCATTGTTATAAAGCCTAAGTAAAACGCGTGTGTGAGGTGCACAGCATGACCCCTGGCACCTAGAAGCTACTTAATGTGTTGTTGCTGTTATTTACCGTTGTCCTTAGTGCTAGGATTGTTATCAATCTGTGGGCTTGAGGTGGAGAAGACCAAAAATAAGGCTGACTATGTGAAGATTCTCTACCTCATATTTCAATACATAAGAAGGCTGGAACAGGAGATCTGACAACAGACCATGCTCTTTAGTGGATGGACTTTGCCAGGTGAGGTTTAGGTAAAGCTACTCTGGCCACCATGGGCTTTGCCACGGCAACACTTAGCAAGTGAGGAGTTTAGAAGTTCTCCGTCTGATAATCTGTGTGGACAGCCAAAGTCGAAACTGACTTTAAGGCTATACAATTTGTTTGCATTGATTATATCATCAAATCTATTATTGGCAGAGTGTGTACCATGCATGAGACTTCTGAAACAGGCAAAGACTTTGAAAAGACCTTTCACGTTTTGCTGTAATTGTCCATCTGCTGCACCTTTCTATACACAGAAAATACTATTTTTATAAATTTATAAATTCATCTAAATACCCTTAAAAATTTCCTCACTTATTATTTTTTCTCCTTTAAGGAGATGCTCTGAAATGGATGTCAAGTCAAAAGAAAGCCAAGCATATGCTCTTATTTATCACATAAAATGTAGAATAAAAAGTTTCTTCTTACTTTTTCCCCTCCAAAGATTACCACTTATTTTCCTCTCTTTCATTTACTCAAAGATGCAATTAATTCTCTTTTAAAAATATTTCAGTTTTCAGTGTAAATCTTTATAACTCTCTGGTGGGAAATTTGGCAATGTGTATAAAATATTTGAATATTCTAAATTCAGAAATTTATTTCTGTCAATAATGAACAAAAATATTTATAAGGAACAGAGTGAGAAGTTGTAAATAGCCTAAACATCCATGTGATTGAAATGGTTATATAAATTCTACTTAATCCTTACAACACAATACTGTTTGGTCATTACAGATATATTATATACGAATATTATAGATAATGCAGAAGTGTTCACAGTGTGTTTTAATGAAGAAAATGAAGACTACTGCACAGTATTTCTTACATATTTTTTAAGTTATAAAGCAGACATGAATGGAAATGAGACCAGAGAGAAATCTGTCAAAGTATTAATCAAGTAATTTTCTCAAGGTGGGGAGGATATTGGTTACTTATTATTTTCTTTGTCAATGTCTTTCTGTTTTTAAGAAGACCTATAATAAACATTTTACTTTTGCAATTAGACAAAACACAGTAAGTCTTTTATAAATTTAATTTGAGAAAAAAATTCCCAAGCCTATTTTAATCTAAGAGAAAAGCAGTGCAATTTAGGAACAGAAACTATAGCTAAGACCTACCTCAGTGCAGACTCCATTGGCTGGAGGAGGGCTGATTCAGGAATGCTGCCTCCTCAGCTCAGATGCTCCAGTATAAAGAGAAGCTGAAGGAGAGGGGGAAGTCAACACTGGCCACGCAGAGCTTCCCCTATAATCAGCTGCCATTTTAGCAAGCAGCTTCTCTGCCTCAGGCCTAAATTCTTCTGCAGTTGCTTTAATCCATGGCTACCATTTCCCTGGATGCCTTAGGGGAGTTCGTTAGGCAGTGTTTCCCAAGTGTAGGGTACACAGCTCTGGTGCTATGGAAGATTTTAGCTGATACCTGGGCATGGTATTAAATAATGTTGAATCACGCAGTGTGAGAGTTAGTCTCTGTATTAGTTTCTTATTGCTCCTGTAACAAATGACCACAAACCTAGTGGCTTATCATCTCCTGCATGTATTCCCTTATGGTTCTGAGGGTTGAAAGGGCTGCACTCTTTCTGGAGACATTGGGGGAGAATCTGCTTCCTTGCCTTTTCCAGCTGCTAGAGGCTGCCCGCATTCCTTGGCTGCTAGTGCTTCACCTCTGCTTCTGGTTGTTTCATTGTCATCTTTCTCTTTTTGACTTTGACCTTCTTGCCTGCCTCTTATGAAAACCCTTGTGATTATGTTGGCTTCACCCAGATAACCCAGAATAAACACCCCAGCTTAAGTTTCTTAATTTAACCACATCTGCAAAGTCTCTCTTGCCACATCAGGTAACATTTTCACAAGTTACTGGTATTAGGACATGAATCTCTTTGGGGAGGGGACACTATTCATCTTAGCACAGTCTCCCTATCAATTTTTTTTCAATGTTTTGAGTGTATCAAGGAGAAAGTCTAACTCTGCTGTATGTCTTTGTTTCTAGCACATGCTAATCTCTCTTGGAAACAGAAAGCACGTAGTTAACAAAAAGAAGGCAGCTCTGAAACTCAAGTTTCCTGACTAGTCATCTATTTTATTATCAATTATCTCCTTTTTATTGTTATGTTTATGGTTATCTTCAAATTATGGAAAATAATTCTTTTTCCTCGCATTTACAGTGGCTATAGAAAGTTTCTTTTAAAAAGATACTTAATTAAAGAGGTGAATTGATTTTGAGACTTTTAAATAAGCAGTATTAAAGGTGGCATACAGATATGGCAAACATTGGGGATGAGGGATGTGAATGACTAAAGTTTGGGAAATATTGCCTTCATAGGACACCATTCTACTTAAAATTAGGAAAGCATCAAGATGTCCAGGAATAACTCTGCCCCTGGCTTAGCTATGCATGAGGCCTCCCTTGATGAGGGGACACATTTACTTTCTGTTTCTTTTGACTGTTGGTTCTGTAGATGGTAGAGGATGAGCCAGCAAGACAAGAAGAAATACCAACTTTCTCATTCATGAAAAATGCAAATCACCAATGGAAAATCTGTGGGGTACCATGTATTAGACATTGGATAAGTGCAAACCTCCTTGCAAGTCTTGCTGAGGGGTAAATTCCCTGCATGCAGGTGGTCTCACTCTGATGAATGGCTACAAATCAGGGCAATGTAAGGTAGGAAAGGGCCTGGTCCATCAGAAAAGGAGCAATAAAGAGCTACAGAGTTCAACCAGGGACATGACCCTTTCAGCCTGAAGGTAGAGATTTGATGCCTTTGATGCCATCCTCTGTACTAGGAAGGTTTTCTGAGTACCTTGCCAGACTTGTTCATAATGTGCTGATAAGAAACTAGAGTTTAGGGGGATAGTATAGCTCAGTGGTAGAGCACATGCTTAGCATACACAAAGTCCTGGGTTCAATCCCCAGTACTTCCAGTAAAAAATAAAATAAGAAATTAATTAAAAAACACATAAAGAAACCTAGATTCCTCCCCCAACAAACAAACAAATAAATTTTAAGAAAAGAAACGAGTTTAATTTTCTCTCTGTTAAAATTATAAGATTTCTTAGATTCTATAATTCTAAGATCTTCTGTTAATAAAAGATTTTAAAAGGTTTTTCTGTTCCTTTTATGTAATCTGCCTAACAATCAAAGATTCTACGTCTTATTAAATATTTCCTGTTCTTGATACTGTCTTTATCGATTGATTACTTAGAAAACTACATCTTTTCAATATGAGGAGAGGTAGGGTTTCTTACAACTTGTAATTTTTTGTATTGGCTTTTCAAATCTTAAATAACTGGAAATACAGGGATGCGTTACACCAATGCCCCCAAAAGATTCATTTAAAGAAGCTACTTATTATTAAAATTTTTTTAATTTGCATTTTCCTAGTTGTCCATCATAGACATGTATTATTTTTATAGTATGAATAGTAGTTTCATTATAACATATAAACATATCAATAAAAAATGTTAAAAAAAAACCCATATAAACATAAGCAGTTTCCACATATTCTTGTGACAAGTATTGTAGAGTATGTAGTTAGTAGTTTTTCCTTTGCTCCACCCCAGTGCTGACTTATTGGCTTCTGTTTTCGACATGCAGGGCCTTTCCATCCCAAACTGTTGATGGCAGTCTGGGACCAGGTGTTTATTACCTATAGCAGAGCTTCCAGGGATCTCTTCTTGGAAGAGGGGGAAATGATGAGGTATGGAAGATATATATTTTTTTTATGTATTAATTTTGGTGAAACTTATCAAGGGAACATAACATTCCAAATAAATTAATTTTCTCAGCTCACTTGACTGGTTTGCTTAGGAAAGTAATTGACAGACAAATTAAAAGACAAACAAAGGTAGGCAGTACAGACAAAACTTATTGTGGGATAGGTGGTGATGCTGATATGATTTTTGTTTGTTTTATTTTAAAAGTGGTGGAGGTTTTGATGGGACTAAAGCCCCGTCGCACTTTGCCGTTGGCTATACCTCATTACCTATTAAGAATACCAGCGATCTGTTCTCACTCTACTCCAAAGCACTTAAGTCAAATTAGAACTCTGAAATGTTTTGAGAACCACATCAATGCTTTATAATCTCTAGATGTCAGATTCAGATATGAGTGAAGGATTGTGTAGTAAGCCAATGGAAGCTTCTGGAGAAACTGACATTTCCCCTTAGGGCAATATACACGTTAGAGATGGTGTCAGCACAGAATTCAGCTTTGGGTGAAACTAGCAATTAATTCAAATGAACTAATTTGAATTGAATGCTTTCTATTTTCAAGTCCCTTTGTTAAAAGTGCTGAGAAGTTTAAGAGGTAAAGCTAAAACTTGGAAACAACCCAGAAGTCCTTCAGTGGGTGAATGGTTAAATAAATGGTGGTGGATCCACCCAATAGGATAATACTGTGCACTAAAAAGGAGCAAACTTATACATATTAACAGTTTGAATGGATCTCAAATGCATTTGCTGAGAGAAAAAGTCAACATCGAAAGGTCACATACTGCATGATTCCATGTACACAACATTACAGAGATGGGAAACAGATTAGTGTTTGCCAGGGGTTAGGTTCAAGAAGGTATACAGTTGACACACAACACTGTTCAAGTTTAAGGTGTACAATGTGATGATTTGATATGCCTATTGTCAGCCGAGGGAGGCTGACGTGGGGTTCTAGGAGGTGAGCGCCCAAATGAAAAAATTCACGAGGAGTTGCCATACTGCTGGACAGACTTCAGCCAGAGACACCATGGGGTTAACAACACTTTATTGCCATAGGGAGGTG